CCACACCAGGGAGGCAGCTGTCCATGTTGCTAAGGATTACAGCTGCCTGCCCCACGCTGGGCACAATGCTTGTGAGTTACTATGTCAAGAGCAGCAGTTATCTCTTATCACTCCCTTTTGATTATTTAACATGATTTTAATCACTAAGACCTTATTGCAACATGAGCATTTTTGGTTATCGGCAAATAACCAGTAGCCAGACCTACTTGGCCTTTGAGTCAAACTATCAGTTAGGCTTTACGATCTATAATGTCATAGGCAGTTGCTCATCAGCAACTGAGATGGAAGCTTATTTCCATGGGTAGAACCAAACTCACATTTATTCCTGACTCCACCCTCATGACATTAGCATTACTCATTTCCTAGTTTTGTTTTTTACCTCCTTCTCTGCGTGTTTCATTAAAGTGTAAGTTCAAGCTCTTTGGATGCTAACTCCTGATTACTTTCTGTTTCTTACAGAACCTACCAGAAGGGTAGACCCAGAGGCACTTTAATTACTGATTATCCGATTTGAAACCTGGGGCTTCATCATCTTCTCTGTCAATATCATAGCTGTCCGTAATAGAGATGGAAGGGACTTTCAGACATTGTATAGTTGAACTCCTTCATTTTAGAGATGAGAAACTGAGCCTTAAAGGGGGCAGATGACTTGTCTAAGTTCCCATGGTACAGAAGCCAAGACTGGAGTTCCATCCTCCAGTTTCCGAACTCAATACTCTTCCATAATTATAATTAATGCCATCTCAGGTTTAGGGGGGATTTCCCCATCCAAAAGAGCTTTGTGTTTGTAACTCTCCATGGGGCTGGGGGGGGGGGGGCGGGGCGGAGGCTGTGTATCCAGGCAGGCTACTCCAAGCCTTCCCTAATGCTACTGCAGCATCTTACTTTCCCAGAGCCAATCCTGGAAAATAGGAGGTCTGAGAGATAGACCAGAGCAAACTCTACACTTCTCTGAGTCCTTGGTCAGGAATTTGGAAGAAATCTTGACTCACTGAGACAGTGACAGAAGAAGAAGAGAGAGCAGGGAAATAACCCAACAAAGCTGTGGGCCCTGGTCTCCATCTCCACTCCTCAAAAGAAATCCCAAGAATTTAAGCCTTGGCGTATTGCCTGGATATTACTTGCAAAGGAAGCAGTTTGGAAAGCACCTTTGATTTGATTTGGGCAAAAAGGCCAGGAGTGAATATACTCCCCTGAATGCTGTCTGTAGTCGGTCTATCCTGGAAACAACCGGCCAGCCCCATATCTGTCGATACCTGGGTGGTTTAATTCAGATAATTGAGGGAGAATTAATGGATATTAATTTTTCCCGTCACGTCATTTTCTATCAAGACATGTCAGGCAGAAGCACATCGTAGGAAGTGTTCTCCATTTCCCTTCCCAACTCCAGGGCTGGGCAGAGGCCTGGCACAGATCAGGTCAAAAGGAGATTTATGGTGAAGGGACCCTTACTCACCGGGCTCCTTCTAAAGTCCTGGGAGCGGGCCCTGCAATGTGTTCACTAGCCATCGGCCTTTGTCACCTTTTTTTTAAATTAAAGTTTTATTTCATATTTTGAGAGAGAGACAGAGCATAAGCAAGGGAGGGGCAGAGAGAGAGGGAGACTCAGAATCTGAAGCAGGTTGCAGCTCCAAGCTGTCAGCACAGAGCCCGACACAGGGCTCAAACTCTCAGACCCATGAGATCATGACCTGAGCTGAAGTCGGATGCTTAACCAACTGAGCCACCCAGGCGCCCAGTCTTTGTCAACTTTGTAAAAGTAAATGGTTTCAGCCACATATGGGCAACTACTGTCTCTGCACTGCCACCTCGCGGACTTTAAATCTTGCCTCAGATGGCATTTGAAAGGTCATAAGCAGTCTTAGGATTTGGCTAAGGGGAAGCTGAGTCAGGACAAATTTAGTTTGAATGTGGTAGGATATATTTATGTGGTTTGAGACCACTAAACCACCCATGTATATTTCACTTCTTGCTAGCCACCTCAGTGTCATGATTGGGTCGCGCAATACGCCTATCTCCCCCCCTGCTAGTTCATTCTACTTCTGCCGTGAAGTTGCAGAACCCAAGGTCACATTATGTTATGAACGTGTCCTATGGCACCTGGCCCTTGACACATATGGATGAGAAACACAGTCTGAAATGTACAGAGCCAGAAGCAAGTCTGGAAAATCTGAAAACCATCAGAAATGCAAAATTGCCAGAGAAGATGTGATTCTCATTGATATGCAGGCAAGATGGAAGTTTTCTCCTATCAAGAATATACTTGATAATGTACCATATACACTTTTAAATGCAGCATGCATTTTAAAAATTTTTGATGGAAATCATGGACAACAGAATTTCTGTGTTTGTAGGACACAAATCTATAGCACTATAACAGTTTTGTGTGATAATGGATCTTAAATAGCAGTAGTTACAAAAAAATCTGCTCTAACTCATGCTCAGGGAATGACTGAATTATCTTTCCTTCTCTTTAGAAAATGGTGATCAGGGGCACCTGGGTTGCTTAGTTGGTTAAGCGTCTGACTCTTGGTTTCGGCTCAGGTCATGATCTCATGGTTTGTGAGTTTGAGCCCCACATTGGGCTCCATGCTGACAGCGTGGAGCCGCTTGGGATTCTCTCTCTCCCTCTCTCTCCGCCCCTCCCCCACTCACTCTTTTTGTCTCTCTCTCAAAAATAAATAAACTTAAAAAAAAAAGAGAAAAGGAAATGGTGATCAAAGAGTACACAACTTTCAGTTAAAAAAGAAAAGAGTAGGGGTGCCTGGGTGGCTCAGTGAGTTAAGTATCCAACTCCTGTTTTCCGCTTTGTGAGTTCAAGCCCTGCATCGAGTCTGCTTGGGTTTCTCTCTTTCTCCCTCTCTCTCTGCCCCTCCCCTGCTCATGCTCTCTTTCTCTCTCAAAATAAATAAATAAGCAACTTAAAAAACTTTTTAAATGAAAAGAGTATGCAAGCATAAAATGTGGGGGAGAAATATTACAGGGGACTGTGAGAAAGCTAAATAATACAAATGTCATGCTGTATTTTGGAATTTGTGGCATCTGTGGTATTTATCTACTTTTTAAATTTTGTAATTTGCCGTGATTTTTTTTCCAATTTAATAATATTGTCTCTCATTTGTCTTCATACTTTCGTGTCCATTTTCTGAAAGGGGACACCAAAAACCAGATGTCCTTCAGGCTGAGCAAAACTCGGATGTGTCCTTGGACTAGATGCTAAATATGTGATAAAGGAAGAAGACATACGACTAACAGATCTGGGGGGAGCCATAGAGGTCTGGGGGACCCGCAGAGAGGGATTTCCTGAGAAGATGGTAACCTAAGGAGCCACAGTGCAGAGTTCTTTCTGGGAGACAAGGTGGGGCAGGGGTGGTGGTGAAGAATATGAAGAGGGGATGTGTGGAAAGGCGGGGGGGGGGGGGGGCGGGGAGGAAAGTTCCAAAGACACATTTTCCAGGCCCCACAGTTTTGTCCAGCTCCAGGGCAATCGGACCCCATTCCCCTCAGGCTAATTCTTGCAGCCTACACATGAACATAAAGGACTTGATGGTTTTTGGTTTTATTTATTTTTTTAAAGGTGATTCCACTGATTATAATGATTGCTCATCTCAATCCTACTGTAAGGGAGAAAAGGCAATACTATCATTGGCCTTATTTTCCAGGTCCCAAACCACATACCCGGTTCAGTGAGTCTCTGCTGTCTTGTCTATTCAGAACAGAACCCTCCCTTTCCTGCCCTTTTAGGAAACTTTCCTGAATGAGCGTTGCCATATGGGTTGCCCCGATGAGTGAGCATTTGGCTTAAGTGGCACCAATCAGAGCTCTTCCCTGGAGTTTGGAAACACGAGACCAGCCAGAGCAGTCCTCCCTTGCTCAGGGAGACATGCGAGGACTCCCAGCAGCCTGTCTACGGTCCTGTGCGGGAGGCCTATCTGTGACAGTGCAGCACAGGCACTGACCGTGTGAGGAAGAGACAGCCCCGTATCCAGAGCAGGAGAGGACAGCCTCCTATGCATAGACTGATGCCTCAGGGGACTCTACTCTGCCTCCTCTGGTGAGGCATTGCAGGGCCAAGCGATCACGTCCACCTCACGTCTGTGTGCCTCTCCCCTTTGAGACTCAAGAATTCTCTGCCCTGATGGCCCTGAGCCTCTTCCAGAGCCTGCATGGACCTTCCTGCTGAAGGCAGACCATGATGCAAGTGTGCATTTCCCTAGGCCTGAAGGATGGCCAAAAGTCAGTGATTTGGGGAATCTGGTGTAAGTGTATGTGTGTGGGGGGGGGGGGTGCATGCACATGTGTGCGTTGGGGGTAGCTATGGAGCTTGGATATGTAGGTCAGGGTGTCCATATTCATGCACGTAAGGACATTTGTGATCTAGGGCAAAACCTGAGATAGAAAGAGAAGGGGAAAGGCCACAGGTGGGGGTCGGCCCTCCCCAGGCAGCTAGGTTCCAAAGCAGAACTTGGAGCAGTGAGAGAATTTTAAACTCAAACCTGGTCTTCCAGGTAGGATGATCAGAACATATCTTATTTAAGAGTTTGTCAGTTTGGTTTAGAGCTCTCCAATATTTAGACATGCAGTGTGTGGGTCTCCATTTGTATTCCTGCCCTGCACCTCGCAAATATCAGGGGCAGGCCTTTGTAGAGAAGAGAGAAGAACAAAAAGTCTCAGGGGCATTTGAGCGAGCCCCTGGTTCAATGTGTTCCTGATGCATGATATAACCTTGCCTTTCACCTACCTTGATCTTATACATTAATAAAGAACAATTTTTTGCCTAAGCTAATCTGGATTTATGTACCTTTAATCAAGAATCCTAGGCTAATAGAGAAAGTGAGTGTTGGAGTTAGGACTTGAACCCAGGCTCTGATTCCTTGTCCCATGTCCCCTCCATCGTGTCACGCCAGCTACCTAACCACCTCTCCAACTGTAACCCAAGCAAATCTTGCTGATACCCCAGCAGGTAAAAGTCAGAATCCCAGGAAGAGAGTTTTACCTACCTGACTCCAAAAAACACTTGCAGGAGAGTGCAGAGGCCGGAGACGAAGAAAATTGTGCTGATGAGGTAGCTCTGAGTCAGCGGGTCATGCTGCAGACACAGGTCCTTGGCCAGGATGAGTGGCACTGCCACAAGTCCCCCCAGAGCCGTGAGGAAGTGCTGTGGGCAGAGCAGAGAGAGTGGACAGTTAAGCAGATGCTGCGGCTACCTAACCCACCTTCATTCCCAATCTTCTGCGAGAGGAAAGAGCTCTACCTCTGGTCTCAGAGAAGCCTGACCATGCATGACAGGCAGAAACCCAGATAAGCAATGGGAACTAGGAAGACCAGGCAGCAAGAAACAGAGACCTAACCAGAGGGTCTGGGTTCAAGGGCAGAACCCTAGCACTGGGAACCAATATCCTGGGCAAGAAACCAAGGCAGGGACACGAAATAGGACATAACAGGAACCAAGGAATGGGGCTTTAAGAATAAGAACAAGGCAAGAGGCTCATAACTAAAACAAGGTATGAGGTGAGGGCAAGACTAATGACCAGGAAGCTTTGAGCACATTCTCCAGACAGATAATATATTAAATCACAAAAGAGCCTTAGCAAATGTCAGAAGAATGAAATCATACCAAGAGTCTGAATGATATGAAACAGGAAGAAAACTGGAAAATCCACACATTTGTGGAAATTAAGCAATACCCTTCTGGACAACCGACAGGAATAAGAAGAAACCAAATGTGAAATCAAAAAATATCTTGAGACAAACAAAAACGGAAACACACATATTGAAACTTATGAAATGGAGCAAAAACAGTTTTAAGAGGGAAGCTTATAGAGATAAACACCTAGAAGAAAAATTGCAAACAACTTTACACCTCAAGAAACTAGGACAAGAAGAATAAACTAAGCACAAAATCAGCAGAAGGGAGGAAGAAATATGCTATTACAATTTCCATACTATCCAAAGTCATGTACAGATTCAATGAAATTGGTATCAAAATTTTTCTGATATTATTCAGAGACAGAAAAAACAATGCTATAATTCGTATGGAACAACAAAAGATCTCAAACAGCCAAAGTAATCCTTAAAAAGAAGAACAAAGCTGGAGCCATACTAATTCCTCATTTCAAATTTTTTTTTAGTTCATTTATTTTAAGAGAGAGAGAGAAAGTAGGGCAGGGGCAGAGAGAGAGGGAGAGAGAGAATCCCAGGCAGGCTCTATGCTCAGTGTGGAGTCTGACATGGGGCTCGAACTCACAAACTGTTAGATCATGACCTGAGATGAAGTCAAGAGTCAGACACTCAACAAACTAAGCCACTACAGCACCCACCCTCCTTCTTCAAATTTTATTACAAAGTTACAGTAACAAACAGTATGGTACTTGAGAACTGGTTGATATTTTCACTGAGCTTAAAAAGTGAGACAAAAATGAAATAACAAAAATATGCCAGATTTTCCTTTGTTTGTCAGTGACGTAAATAAGCAGATTCTTTGCTAAATTTTACAGCAGTTTTTGAAAACTGGAAGAATGTTATTTTCAAAAACCCCGGCAAAAGTAAAAAAAAAAAAAAATCAGTATGGTACTGTCATGAAAGTGGGTAAATATACCAGTAGAACAGAATTGAGAGCCCAGAAATAGCCCCATTCATATATGGTCAACTAATATTTGACAAGGAAGTCCAAAAGGCTCCAGGGGAAAGGATAGTCTCTTCAATAAATTATATTGTGATGGGGCGCCTGGGTGGCTTAGGCGGTTAAGCGTCAGACTTTCACTTAGGTCATGATCTCGTGGTTCGTGGGTTCGAGCCCCGCGTCGGGCTCTGTGCTGACTGCCAGCTCAGAGCCTGGAGCCTGTTTCAGTCTGTGACTCCCTCTCTCTCTGACCCTCCCCTGCTCACGCTGTCTCTCTCTCTCTCTCCTAGAAATAAATTAAAAAAACATTTAAAAATAAATAAATAAATAAATAAATAAATAAATTATATCGTGAAATCTGGATAACCACATACAGAAGAATGAAAATGGACTTCTATCTTGCAACACTCACAAAAATTAACTCAAAAATGGATTAAGGACTTAAATATAAGGCCTGAAACTGTACAACTCCTGCAAGAAAACACAGTGGAAAACCTCCTTAACATTGGTCTTGACAAACATGATTAGCTACGACACCAAAAGCTCAAATAACAAAAGCAAAAATAAACAAGTGGGAATACATCAAACTAACAAGCTACTGCACAGCAAAAGAAACAATCAGCAAAATAAAAAGACATCCTAAGAATAGGAGAAAATATTTGAAATTTGTAAACCATCTATTAATAAGGGTTAATATCCAAAAGATATAAGGAACTCATAAAGCTCAAGAGCAAAAACCAAAAGATCTGATATAAAAATGGTCTTGGAACTTGGGAAGTTGGTGGAGTAGGAGGAGCTTAGCCCCTCGCACGCTTACAACTGGGTATCATCCACATCCAAGTCAATAAACCAGACCGCCATGGATGGATAGAAGAAGCTGCATTTGAAAGCTTAGGAATGTCAGAAAAGTGCAGGGGGCTGCCCACAGGGGGGGGGGGCTGCCCACAGGAGGAGAGAGCTGTGCACACAGACAGGGCAGAGAAATGGGCTCATGCACCAGGGAGTTCACACAGGGAAGACTAATCGCTATAACGCTTGGCTTTAAAAGCCAGAGGGGCTGAATTGGGTGAGTCTGTAAAACCAGCAGAACTTGGAACCTGGAGCTTTAAAAGCCAGCTGACTCAGCACCCAGCCAGTTGGGAAGGCAAGTGATAGCTGGGTCACTGCCCTTAAAGAGCCAGCAACCTGCATGGAGAGGCAACATAAAAATGGCAGTTTTAACAACCTCTGGGGCAGACAGGAGAAAGGTCTGTTCAAAATGACTTTGGAGTGTGCTGGGGGACTCTGAAAACGAGGGAGCTTGGAGGTACCAATTTCCTCCCCTTCCCCCCAGCATAAACACCTGCAGGAGGTGAGCTGCACTGAAACTTGGAGCCTCAGGGCTCAGGACAAATTTTGTCAAAAAGTGTGTTTGCCCCACCCAGCCGCAGACTCCCACCCACTGTCACACATGCATGGAGCGCAGCTTCACACCACCGGCCGCTCTGGCATATAGCCCACAGCCAACAGCCACCTCGGTGCTTTGGGGAACCTGGCATAGGACTAGTGGCCCAATGCAAATTTTGCTAACACCACTGCCCCATATCCAAATTCCCTGGCCTGCCTGGGTCCCACTAACACCACATAGAGCAACCACTGCCCACAATAGGCAGAGAGTCAGTGCAGACGACTGTACTGAAAGGAAAGATGATTCAGATATAACTGCAGGATGTAAGCAACACATACAGGATACTTTCCTGAAGTACCAGGGTCTGGTGGGAACAAGGACATTGCACTGCAAGGCACTCTGGGACCTCCTTTCATAAAGTCACTACTTCCAAGAGCAAAAGTCAGAGCTGACTCTCTTAACACAGAGAAACAGACACAGAGAGGCAGAAAATTGGGGAGACAGAGAAATTTGCCCCAAATGAAAAAACAGGACAAGACAATGGCCAGAGATCTAAACAAATGTAAATATAGGCAAATATAAATAACCTGCCTGATACAGAATTTAAAGCAATGATCCTAAAGATACTCACTGGACTTAAAAAAAGAGTGGAAGACATGAGTGAAATCCTTAACACAGAGAAAGGAATAACACAGCAGAGATAAAGGGCTTAATAAACAAAATGAAAAACATGCTTGATGGAATGAATAATAGGATGGAAGAAGCAGAAGAACAAGTTAGTACCTAGAAGATAGCAATGGAAAGTAATCAAGTTGAACAAAAGAGAGAAAAAAAATTACACAAAATGAGAATACACTTAGGGAACTCTGTGACTCCATCAAACATAACAACATATATATTATAGGAGTCACAGAAGAAGGGAGAGAAAGGGGGGGCAGAAAATTTATTTGAAGAAATAAGAGCTGAAAACTTTCCTAATCTGAGTAAGGAAACAGATATCCACACCCAGGAGGCACAGAGAATTCTCAACAAAATCAACAAAAGCAGACCCACACCAAGACATATTGTAATTAAACTTGCAAAATATAGTGATAGAAGAAATATCTTAAAAGCAGCAAGATAAAAATCATTAACTTACAAGGGAAAACCCATAAGGCTAGCAGGAGATTTTTCAACAGAAATTTTGCAACCCAGAAGGAAGTGGCATGATATATTTAAAGTGATGAATGGGAAAAATATGAAGCTCAGAATATTCTATCCAGCAAGGCTATCATTCAGAATAGAAGGAGAGATAAAGAGTTTCCCAGACAAACAAAAACTATAGGAGTTTGCAGACCACAAAGCGAGCCCTGCAAGAAATATTAAAGGAGACTCTCTGAGTGAAAAGGAGAGAACAAAAGTGACAGTATAAAGGTAGGAAACACAAAAGCAGTAAAAATGAATATTTCTGTAAAAAATTAGTTAAGGAACTCACACACACTTAAATATAAAGTATAATAACATATACTTAAAATGTGGGAAGGAGAGGAGAAAAGAATGGGTTCAAACCATCAATTTAATAGAGACTGCTATATGCAGGAGAAGTTATTTATAAATCTAATGTCAACCATATATCAAAAGCCATTAATAAACATGCAAAGAATAAGGAGAAATAAATCCAAATATATCACTAAAGAAAATCAGCAAAAGATGACAGAGAAAGACAAGAAAGGATCAGAGAAAATCTTTAGAAAGAACCACAAAACAAGTAACAAAATAATCATAATTACTTTGAAGCTTCTGCACAGTGAAGAAAACACTCAGTAAAACTAAAAGGCAACCGATGGGATGAGAGAAGATATTTGCAAATGACATATCAGATAAAGGGTTAGTATCCAAAATCTATAAAGAACTTCTCACTCAACACCTAAAAAACAAATAATCCAGTGAAGAAATGGGCAAAAGACATGAATAGACACTCTTCCAAAAAAGACTTCCAGATGGCTAACAGACATGTGAAAAAATGCTCAACATCACTCATCATCAGGGAACTACAAATCAAAACCACAATGAGATGCCACCTTTCATCAGTGTAAGGCAATGCAGGCAACAACTCAGGCAACAACAGATGTTGGTGAGGATGTGGAGAAAGAGGATCTCTTTTGCGCTG